CTTCTAGAACTTAAAGTCATTGCTGTTACAGCCAACCAATAAAACTAAGTCAGTTTTACCAAATATAATCAGTAACTTTCATTCTGAGAATTGCCAAGGATAAAAAGATCTCAAGGAATTGTTTTTTGAAAAGAAATTGCAAGTCCATTTATAAGTACCTCTATTCTTTCCAGTAGGGAATTTCTCCAATTGCATTCATGTTGAATGAATATTTATATATATAACTTAACTTTCAAAATAAAGGTTTTGTTTAAGCAACGCCAAATTTCACTTTAAATGTATCTTGAAATGCTCTCAAATAGTTCATGCTGTAATCATTTTCACAGTTTTAAACCAAACTTTTGCATCACTGAAGTTGAAAAGAAGTGTTTATTGCTTAATAGTGCAAGACTTTGGTTTTTAATATTTAATCAAACAAACATTAAATTCTAAGTAGTGACTATCTGGTAGGAAAAAACATGCCTACCATTTTAAAAAAAGAATTGGAAGGCATTTTTGTTTTTTGGTCATATCCCTGTTACTTAATATAGTAATCTTCAGAGGAAAATGAAATACTGTTTTTGTTTGTTGGACCTGAAAATAAATAAAGGCTTTTATATTCACAATGCTTTGGTAAATTAGATGACTTCTAAGTTTACCCTCCACACTGAGTTTACAATTCTAGATCAAGAAAGGGAATTTTGGGAGGGTGCGTGGGGGCTTTACTGTTCTTTCTGTAATGTATTTATCTGTTATCTTAAAAATCGATTAATTTTTAAAAAGGCTTCAGTAACTGGTTGGGTCTGTTTTACATCCAGGTTTACATATTGACTCCACTCAAATTCCAGTTTTGTGTATTGTGGCATTTGTATCACATTCTAACTTATATTTTCTCAAGGATTAAAATGTAAACATAGATGGGTTGTTCTCATTGCTTCTTGTGTGTTCTGACTCCATTGGGCTCCCTGTTTGGGTGGGAAATCTTCCCTTGGTGTATTTGCAGCATTCATAATTTGAGAATCATTTTAATTCAGTTGCTGTTAAAGTGTCCTTCTTGTTTGTATGAACAACTCTAAAAAAGGTGATGCAAAATTGTGTCATGCGGATCCCTCTGTGGCCCTATCCTGATGCACCAAACCCACTGCCCGGGTCCTTCCGGACCTGAGTCACCCCGCAGCACAGAGTGCAGCTTGTAGGGTTCCCAAGACTGACTCCCAGCCACAGACAGCCTTCTCTCTGTCCTTTGAGGGCTGCTGAGCTTAAGAGCCAGCCTTGCAGTTGGCAGTCTGGTGCTTAACACATAGCGCCACCAGAGCTGCTTGCTGGGTGCCCAGGAATGCAGTAAGCCTTTCTGAAGAACAGGCCAAACTGTGCTGCGCAGTGGACAGGGACCATAATATGACATTTTTAAAGTTCTGTGTTGTTTTTTCCCCCTGTTTTCATCTTAAGCACCAAAACAAAGCGAAGGGACCTGTACCTTGAATATGAATTTGTAATGGTTGGGTTCAGCAAAACCAATGTTTGTGGTTCACGAAGCCCCAGGCCTGGTGACAAGTGTAAAGATCCACCCTGCAGAGAAATGTGCAGTGTTTGAGATCTGTGAGGGAGGGTAGTTGGGATCATAACATAAGAGAATTTTCCAGAAAGAAATGCCAAGTACTGTTCCCTTGACTCTGCCACTCCTGCTCTCCACCAGGATCAATGTTCCCCCTTCCCGGCACCACTGAAACCTCACTTTCTCAGATGCTTCCTGAACCTCCAGCCTGCGGCTTCCCACTTTGCAGTTTTTCTGTCCATGCTCTGTGCTGGGCACCGTCATTCCCACTTACTGACCAGAAGCTCTCACCAAACCGAGGGGGGGACCGGGAGCTCAGTCTCACTTGTTCACAATTGCATCTCTTCCATTTTGAATATCGTCTGAATGCCCATGAGAGGGAAAAAATATCATTTGATTCCTAGAACTAAGCTATCATATCAGTATGTGCAAAGTAAATCTTGAGCTTAATTTCCTTGTTCACCAGCTATGCCAGGATCTCTTGTTTCTCCTGAGAAAATGTGGAAGAGTTGAAGAAAAACTTCCCTGCCATCAAGTCAGTGCTGTTTCATAGCAGCCCCGTAGGTCAGCGTTGAGCTGCCCCTGTGGGCTCTTCCTTAATTGGGGAGATAAAGGAGTGAAGAGAGGCCTTGGGTCATGGATTCTTTGAGTGAGGTGAACATTTAACTAGCAATGGCTGTTAACAGAAGAAACGTAGTTTATTGTCCAACGTTCTGTTTAAATGATCTATCGATGTTAGACTTTAAGAGGATACTCAGTGCATAGCTACAGACTTAGATTAGCAAAGATCCTGTCACTACTTAGTCAAGATTCACATTAAATGGTCGAAGGATTCAGGTTAGAGAGGTTGGCGATAGAGCCCGGAATTGGCAGAATTAGCAGAGTGAAGCCCTCCCACTGGTAAATGCACTGGGTCCGATCCCCAGGTTCCTAGTATCACCAGTCATCATAAGATTGGTTCTAAAGAGAGCCTCCACAGCACCGTGAAACAGCGTGTTCATTTCATAGGCATGTTTTCTTTGTCTTGGTGCCAGACTTTAAACCTGAGTGATAGTGGTAAGACTGGGCTCTCAAGGAGATTACAATCATTAATCAAAAAACCCCCCAAAAACGGACTTTGGCCGTGCCATTCTGTTTCGACTGTAGCTCACTCAGCTCCTTCTTGCTGATTAGCTGTGCTCGTGATACTGGGACCTTGATGGGAACAGCTTGTCTTGTCTCGTTGCTTCAGATTCGGAGCCCATAAAGGAAAATGAAACGCTGGTATTTGTGTCTGAGCCTCAAGAACTAGAGGCATTTGCTGCTAAGATTTATTACCCAGAAAATAAGCAACAAGAATCAAATCCTAAGCAAGTAATTGAAACCGACAGGAATCTGAGCTTTCTCTGGGTAAGCCATGACTTTCAAAATCTAGAGACGAATCTCTAAAGGATCGCTTCTCCTAACTGTAGAAAATGTCCCGTGACACTTGGGATTGATCTCCCTGCTTCTCCCACCCCTATGCCACTAACATCCCCGATTCTTAGCACGTGCGCTGCAGCTGAAGGTGGTGGTATCTTGGGACCCCACGTGGGGAAAGCTGGTCGGTCCCCGTCCGGTCACTGTAAACTAGAGAAGCACAGCTTTGAACAGACGCTCTCTGTGATCTGACTGCACAGTCCCTTGTCCTGCTGCTCCAGAAGGTGACAAAAGATACATATCCTGTTGAAATTGTTGTGAGTCATTGTGAAACACCTTCTGGCCCTTGCCATCTTCCTGGCAGCTCTTTAGCCATAAGTGGTCCATAGGCACCTTGGGAACACCTGATGAGGTCGTCCATCTCTTGACCTCGAGTAACAGAGAGAGGTTAAACTGAGTTGTTTGTGGACTCACAGAACCGAAATGACAACAGGAATCTGCCAGGAAGCCCGAAGACTGCCGCGAGCCTCGGGCACTGATGTTGTACAGTCGTTCAGCAGCAAGGAAGCCTTGGAGAGGGGCTATCTCTAGTCTCCCCTTCTGTGGCCCCAGTTCCAACTTCTTCACTCTGGTGCTGTGCTGTGCTGTGCTGTGAACACATTTCATCCAGCCTCCAAGTTTGGCCTTTCTGCGTTTCCTTGAATCTTCTCCCAAAGCAGCTACCTGATAATCCTCACTTTTGCCAATGTGGTCCACGTCTTCGGTCACTGTTTCCTCTGGGGGAGGGAGTTTGGGCCCCAGCCACTTTTTCATTCAGTAGTCAACCAAGACTGCTGTTAGGTCACATCACTCATCTCCCTTGATGAGTCAACAGAAGATAGGCCACATGCTCTGCAGAAGAGTTTCTCAAACCCACTGGCCCGTCGCCTCCTTTTCAGATAAGCTATTCCTCAGCACCACCGCTGGCAATTAAAAACCTTTGCACCATAGCCCATGATCTAGGATAAGAACATGTGTATCTGCTTTTTCAGCCCACCTGGATTGTTCCAGCAGCATTACCCACCCCCCACCCTTCACCCGGGGGTAGTATCACCCACTTTTGGAAACACTGCTCTAAAAGATGGCTACCCCGGTTGGTGGGTTCAATTGTCTTAGCAGAGGTGACAGACTAACACTTTTTCCCTAAAAGGCTGGGCATGATTGATTCATCGCGTATCCTTGGAGCACAAGTCCAGGATTCAATCGACCCTGTATCTTCTTATCTAAGCTACTTAGACAGGTTGCACATCCAGTTCTGGCACTGACATTTTCTTCCAAGGGCATTGAGACCAACTTGATGCAAATACGTCCCCCATTAGGGGCTGCCTAGCTCGCTCTGTCTCACAGAGAGCCTGTGGATCACAGGGAAATGTTTCCCCATCCTGTGCCACGGTGTGGCCACTGTGCCCATCCACGGCACTGAGGATCTCCCTCTCCTTCACTGACCTACTTTGCCGATGCCCCTGGACCCTGCCAAATCCAAATCTGCACTTCTGAGGCTAAAACTGGTGAGAAACGGGTGTCCAAACCCACAGTTATGTTCTATCCTTGAGTCCTGGAGAGTCACCCCCTCCCCAAATGGGCCCACAGAGAAGCCTTTTGCTGGCTCTCATCCTAAATCCCTAGAGGTTACATGCACCCCCCTACAGTACAAAGTCAACATGAACTCTGAATCCAATCATTAGTGCATGGGAATCACGCAATGGAAACAAGATTGGTTGCCTTTTTAAAATGGTACTTTTGGTATTTTGTGGACACTTTGCGATGATGCCCAGAGCCTGTATTTTCTCCGACACAATCATTCTCATCGCTCACATGGTGTCCCAACGTGACTTTCAATGACCTCGTGGAAGTGCTCAAGGACTTTACCTGGCCCAAATCTTTGACTGGTTTTTTTCCTCTTAAGAAATTGCTCAGAGATGAAATAGCGTGGCCTTAGAAGATAAATGAAAATTGATTTTCACTTGACATCAGAGGCTTTGAAGCTGGGGAGTTTGTATTTATCGCTCACTGCGTGCTTGCCTCCTAATACAGCACGGCTTTCTGCCGCTCCTTAAACCACCACCCCACCACCACCCCACCCCACCCCGTTGTTTCAGTGAGAGCAGACACAGCCATGAGCAGAGTTCTTCACATATTTGGAGCTTTTCCCCACATCTGAAAGGGTTCTGGGGCCACACAAAAGGCTTGGAAGATCCCATCCTGGAGCACCTCAGGGAAGGTAGCTGAGTCCCTAGCATCCAGGAATGGAGCACCCTCATCCTCAGATAGGTTGTACGCACGCGGTTTCCATGCGGCAGCTCACTTACGTCTTCCCGCCCTCCGCAGGTGGTTCTTTCATGAACCCTGTTCTCTAGATGGGGCACTGAGGAAGGGAGCAAGCTGTTTCTCTCCTCCTCTTGTTCCGAATGGCTGACTCTAGATCATTGCAAACAGACATTGATCATCAACTTTCTCTAGAAATGGTTCTGCTGGGTCATGAACATCTAATTGGGCGTATTAGGTGCGAGTCCAGCATGCCTGGTCTGTGATGTGCCGATGTGCCCAGGGGTAATAGCCTTGGGCATCCCCCAGACCCAAGACCAGTCTCTCATAGCTTCAATTTTTCTCTCATCCAACTTCTTCCCTCAACCCTACAAACATGCTCAACCTTCCCCTTACATCTCCCCATTCCTCATCACCAAATAGCCACCCCATTTTAGTCAGAAGGGCCTCGGCTTTACTGCAGAAACTGTGGAACAATGACAATTAAAGCGAATAGAGGTAGACATATCTAACCTCCAGCTTTCCTATTGCCACGAGGCAAGGGTCAGACATGCCTCCACATTCCATCCTTTCCTCCCATGATATGCTACATCTATTCTGGGTCCCATAAATCTTTGCAATGACCACAGTACTAACAGTCAAGAGGGGAGAGGGGTTTAAAGAAGTTAATAGGCTACCCCAAGTCAAGATCAGCAAACGCTAAGGATGTAGCCCTTGGTCTCCTCAGCCTCTCAGCCACATGGCATAGCCAAGTCTCTCTCTGATTCTCAGCCATGTGGTCTCTGGGCCTTTGCCTCCCTGGAATAGTAAGTCAGCCCACAGTACCCCAGAGCCTCGGCACTGCTCCCTGTGCTACCGTCTACGATGTATCTGGTCTCGGAGCCTCTGCCACATCAGACAGAGATCTTGATGTGCTCTTCCAAGTTTCTTGGGATTTCTCTCTCGACCACTGTTTCAAGATGGTGCATCCTTACATCCAGTGGCTGGATGTCAAAACGAGGACGGATCCCCTCTCAGTGTTACACATATGCCCTGTTTGCATGTTGTTGTTTTCAGGTGCTGTTGAGTTGCTTCTGACCCATAGCTACCTCATGTTGCAGGGGCTGAATTGGGCCGGGTGCTGCTCCAAGTAGCCTCCGACCAGCACATCAGGCTGCTGCCACTTGCCTTCTTCAGATAGCGGGGCACACCAGGCCAGCCCCTCAGCCCCATGACTCACTGCAGGAGAGCGTGCAATCAAGCGCTGTGCATGTCTTCCCTTTAAGCCCCTCCCCCACTTCGACCCCGACACCCTTGTCAGGGAGGATGCCTTCCTGCATGTTACTGTGGACATGCACCTGAAGCTGGTGCGGCTCTTTGTGGCTGGGGTAAGTTCCTTTTTAGATAAAAGATTTTACTGCATGGCTTCTGATCATGGAACTGGGCTCGGGGAATGTGGCTGCAAGTACAGATCTGGAAATCACTCACACAGAGATGGTGCTGAAAACACGTTTGGAAGAAATGTTCAAAAGGGAGAGGAGGTGTCAGAAGAGGGCCAAGGCCTGGTGGATACAAAATCCACTCTGGGTGTCAACGTCCCCACCCCCAGCCAGTCCCGGGGCTTTGGGGCTTGGCTCAAGGGGAGCCCCCCTGGGACATGGGGGTACAGTGAATGGTGTGACCCTTTTTCTGGGCCTGCCTACACAGTAGGGTATGCTGGGCCCCTCTAGGGTTTCCTGTAGGGGCTCCAATAAATTTCTTCCCTTTTGCTTAAAAAAAGAAAAAGAACTTACAAAAAAAACCAAAAAAACGAGAAGCTGATACCAAGGGCTCAAGTAGAAAGAAAATGTTTTGAAAATGATGAAGGCAACAAATGTACAAATGTGCTTGACATAATGGATGGTTGTATGGATTGTGATAAGAGTTGTATGAGCCCCCAATAACATGATCTAATAAATAAATAAATAAAAAGGAACTTATCATCCTGGCTAAATACACCCTCCCTCCTGACTCCTAATTTCTCCTGACCTCCCCTCCTTTTCCCACACTGCAACCCTCCACTGAATTTAGCAAGGAGCCTCCAATCCACCCCTCTCTCTCTGGCACAACTCAAAGTTGGCGCCTCTCTCCTCTCCCTGGAAGACAGCAGCTGCCCAACAGCTCACGGATCACACTTTCCGGTTTTCTCCATGTTTCAAAACTGTCCATGGCAAAACGCAAGGGAACACCATTCCCAAGATGTCCTACGTGAACGACAGCCCCTGAAGTTGTGCAGTGCAAATCCGGTGACTTTGCTGGTCCCATCCCTCGCTAGCAATCTAATAATCTACAGCTTGAATCCACATACCAGTCCCACTCCCAATGGCTTCCCATTCCAACATGACTGCAGGCCAAATTCCTGAGCTCCATCCTCTAAGATTCACACTTCTACACCAAAACTGCACTTCCTACCCTGCATTCTGGTTATTTATGGACAGATTTCCTTTTTGTTCACTCACATGAGTTACTTGAAGAGTAAGAACTTATTAATTCACTCACTGCCCGGACATCATTTCCAACTCAGAGCGACCCTGTGAACAGCCCCTGAGGGTTTTCAAGGACGGAACACTTGACAAGAGTAGAAGACATCACCTTTCTCCCAAGAGCTGCTGGTGCTTTCGAACTGCTGACCTTCCGCTGAGCAGACCAACTCGAAGTGCCTCTAGACCACCAGGGTTCCTACTGGAAGGGTTCCATTCAGAGACTCATGGAAAGATTTAAGTCAGACGTTTCAGTTCACAAAGACAACAGATGGCCCGTGTAAGTGAGGATTGCAGAGGGTCCATCCTACTGGCTCTGGAATAGCTCGATGGTTTGGCAGGTCTCTCTCTCTCCTTCCCCCTCTCTCTCCCTCTCTCTCCTTCCATTCCAGGACTCTGGGAGCACAGCAGGCCTGTCTAGCGGGAGCTGGAGCTAAGGAGGAGACACAGCTGCTGCCAGACCAGCTGCCCCTGGCAGCTGGAGGAGGACACACTCTACCTTCTCCCTTTTGCTTAACCTGCATGCCTTTCATTGGCGGACCCCAGTCAGGAGCCACAGGACCCTGAGTCTGGGGCACACAACCCATAGGACTCAGAGCTGAGTTGTGGTGGGGGAAGGAAAAGGAGTGGGTCTGAGAGTTAACAGGTAAATCACCAGCACAAGTACCTTGCTTAATCGTATACCTTTAAGTGGTGGCGCCTGGACTTGAACCCCCAGCTTGAGCTCAAAACCCTACTCCCCTACCCCCACCCCCCATGCTGCAGCCCTCACAGACCCCTATCCCAGCTGGAGGTCTTGTGTGAGCAGACGGAAATACAAAGACAGAAACCCGTGGCTGTGGAGGTAGGCGATGTCAACTCCTGGCAACCCCAAGT